CAAATTTTTGGCTCTTAATATCTCTAAAACGGTAAATTATTCTTCTAAGAATTTAAACTAATTTTAAGATTATAATTTGCAAGTACATACATAATTTAATATAATTACTACATGTATATATATATATTAATGTTATATTTATAAATATTAAATGTTGATATTATGTGTATTTAATTTTATTTTATATATGGTATTGGTTTTATTTTGATCTACATTAGCTTAATCGTAGTACATGTCATGTGCGCAGGCAGTCCCATACCGGGTCACTGTCTGGTATTTGACAATTCACTCCAAAGTTGCAACGGACCTTAGGTTGTGTCACAAGTACCGTTGTGAACACACCTTAGTAGCGCGCGCGCTCACTACCTCTACTTTTTCCTTTTCCTCTAGCTGTTTGTTGCGCGCACATTCTCTCTCGTTATACTATTCGTTTAGCGCATGCGCGATGCTACTCTTTTATCGCGCGCTTTCTTGTTGCCTCGTGTTTTAGCCGGGTGTCATGGCGTCGAGCCCTTTGTTCAACCGTCACTCATGATACCGACTTTCAATTGCATTTAATTCACGAACAAGGCTATGTCACTCGCGAGAAATCTAATGTTACTGTTTCTCTGTGTTTACGTTGTTGCCTCTAACCTTGATCCGAGCCATGTCTTTACGCCACTGCACGATAAAACGCGACAGAAAAACCGCACTATTCTGCAATTTTATTAATTTTAAATTAATTTTATTAATTTAAAATTAATTATAAATTTACTCTAGAATTCCAGCCCTCTTATTAATTCGCTCTAATATGTTATTCCGTTTCTTTTCTAATGATTACGCGCTCGATATTTTTATTAGTCTACGACTGACTAAATGTTAAGTAAAAAAATATTCGTTCTTCGAGTATTTTGCGTATTCGGAATGCGACACTTTCCGTGTGCTTATTAGCTCACTTTGCTTTTTTTTTTTGTTATTTATCGCGAACTCGTGTTGCTCAGGTAGATTCTTTTCAGCTTACATTAATAATTTTTTACCATACCTCTATGATTCACAATTTTTCCTTTTGCTGCGCAGCGGAAGCGTGGCAGGGCCGATAACCTGTTGGATTACTGGGATAAATTGAAAATAACAATCACCTTTTGTTTTATATATGAATATATATATAAGTAAGACTATACAAATACTTTTCTCTAAAGATATGCAAACTCTAATTTTATTAACTAAATCACAAATCAAAGATAACACAAAATGAACAAGAAGAAAGTAGCAGAGCTCCGAGTCGATGATAGGATATAGCTGTAATGCAGAGCACGCCAGTTGAGCAGCGCCGCACAGCGAAGACGGCGCGGCAAGCTCCCGCGCACATGCGCACAGTATTCCGAACAATACTCTTGTTGTAAACTAAGCTTTTTCCAAGAGTAATTATATTTGTCGATTCACTCTTATCGCAATAACTATTATCTCATAGATGATGAAATAATTTAGCAAATTTTATTAGGTTGAATAAGCTAGAAAAAAAGTTTCGGCCTTATCTGATCATGAAATGTCTTTAAAATGCCTGTCTTAAATATTAAATTTTATAAATGGTATCTAGACTTCAATTTCTCTTAAATTTATAAATATAAGTTTTTCATTTATAAATATTTCTTTTGAAAGGAAACGCTGAATTATAACACAAAGATCCGGTTTTCCTTATAGAAATAATGATTCGTCTAAGAAAATTTATATCAATATTCCTCCCTATTTAAAAAATCCAGCTGGATTGGGATCTGACATGTGGAGGGGGTAGAGTTTAAGATGGCGACAGTAAGGCGCATCGTTACACGTGCAGTATAGGACTAAGACTAGTTTTTAGTGTAAATGTTGTTAACAATCGGCGAAATATGCAAGTGGGCAGGTGAAAATCCAAGCCAAAGACGTTTTGTAAAGGGTGAACGAATTTTAGCGGCAGGTCATTTGTTGAAATGTGGAAAATTAGGCGTCGAGGATGATATAGTCAAAGTAAAGGCTTTTTGTTTACAAACAACAAATGTGAAAGAAAAGCCTCATGGAATTGATTTTGAGATCACTGGATCAGGCTGTATACAGAGTTGTGTTTGTACTTGCAAAGCTGGGCTTAGTGGAAAATGCAAACATATAGTTGCCGCATTACTGCACTGCTACCGGTAAATTTCTAACCTCTATTTTTTTAATCATGCTAAATATACTTGTATATAACATAATTTTTTTTTATTCTAGTGAAAGATATTCTTTTTTTTAGTGCTGATGAAGATCTTCAAACATTCTCTTGTACCGATATGGCATGTTCATGGAAGCAACCCCACAAAGATATTTTACAGAAGTATAGACCAGTTCCATTAGAAAATCACAGTTGTTTTAAAAATCAACACTCCAGTCAATTTCAAAACGTTATTTTAAACATAAGCACAAAAGATATTAAAAGTATTATTCTAAAAAATCTACCGACTTCTGCATTTACAAAAGACCAGTAAGTCAATTTTTTTTCAATTAATAATACAATTACAGAAATCTTGTGTAATGTAACGTCGGATAATTAATAGTACTATTTTTTTTTTAATTTTTTTCTATTACGAATTCAATGGTTCAAACTGCACAATTTCGAGAAACGAAAATACGTTGGAAGGTTTCTCTTCTCAAGGTTTCTACAAATTCCAAGAGAAGACAAGCTGACCAAATATTTTGCGATTAGAAAATAGGTATAAGAAATTTTACGACTTTGTTATGTGCGTCCATGTCCTTGTATTAACAGCATGGGCTGCCGACGCCCAAACCCTATGCGGAATGTAGAAAAAAAAGAGAAAGCTCCTCTCATGCGTTTTCCACTGATTTTTCATTTTTCCGTTTAGTTTAGTCATCAAAAGTTAAAAATTTATTTTATTCTATTGAATAGTTTGTGCAGTTAGATAAATTAAGTCGTACGATTTATCATTTAAGCTACGTTTTATTTAAGTTTAAAGATGTGAATAAATAACATTTGAGAATTAAATATAATTCTCAGATTGTTATTTATATATATTTAGTAACGAATAATAGATAATAGTTAAATAATAAGTATGTTAAGTCCTTGCACGGTAAGAAAGGGGTACTTTTATACGCGATTTGGCATGAGCAACTCCATCTGTCTTAAAGAAACTGTACGTTCTCCTAATGCGGGAAAATTTCCACCAATCAGTTTTGGAGTTTTCATGCCCAAATCCTTCAGAGCCCCTTGCGGCCTTATTTTGAAAGAGAGCGCATCACGAGGGAATGTGCTAAGTAAGGCGCGAACTGTTCGCCACTGCTACGCCACCCGCAGTAAGAAGTGCCACGCTCAAAATATACACTCTCTCTCAAGTAGCCCAAGGATTCTATTACGAAAACGATCAAAGTTTCCATCGATCGTTCTAAAGGACTCTACAAAAAAATATATATAAAAGTAAGTTTTATTTCTAATACTAATTTTTTTATTTCTTCACCTTTCACAAACCATTTTTCCCAATTCCGTATCGCTCGGTCCTCTCATTGAAAAACGAGTTGGATAGAGTTGATACTATACAATAGTTTAACGCTCAGAATTTGGATCATTAGGATCTTTATAGGTCTGAGTGGAATCTATAGTTGATGATTCTCTGTGCCTTCCGAAAAGATTGGCGCTAGAATAATCGATTTAGATTCAGGAATTAGAAAAGCACCCACGCCGTGTGCATCAAATTTTACTGTATTTTAGCCAACACCAATCTTTCCTTACCCGGGTAAAGTGAGAAATCACAGCCCAAAAAGGATTAGAAATCTTCACCTCACGAAAAGTGAGACGTAACAGTAATATTTAATTGAGTAAATTATTTGTAGAATTGGAAGACACAATCCAGTAACTTTCACAGAAAAAAGCATCTCAGACGTTGAACGAATGGCAATTAAATTGATATTTCTGCACCAAGATAAAGAAAATACTATATTACAAGCGTTAGAAAGACTGGAAGTGGATCCTGTAAAAGACTGTTGTACCTAAAGTTTGAGTATATTACATGGAGATTATGAAAAAATTTGTGAAAATACTAAAAATTGGTATGTTAATTGGAAAGAAGAAAGAAAGTATCGAATAACTGGATCCATTTGCTATACTACTTTCACCTATTCATCAAACAAAAAAGCCAACTGGAAAAATAGATGTAATAATATGTTCAATCCACCTAATTTCAAAAATGATTTCACAGAATATGGAAATGAGATGGAATCTGAAGCTCGAGAGTTATTTGTGATAAGTACAAATATCAAAGTTATTGAAGTGGGACTGGTAGTATCAAAAAAGAATCCATGGCTCGCTTATTCACCTGATGGCGTTATCTTTGATGAATTTAAACCAGTAGCTTTATTAGAAATTAAGTGCCCGTTTCTAGGTAAAACTTGTGATATAGAAGCCACCGTGGCTAGTTAGATAAGTGGAAGTGGGTGTTTAGAAAAAAAAGGTGATGTGATTTGTTTAAAGCAAAAGCATAGGTTCTACGGGCAGATTCAATTAAGTATGGCTATTCTTAACGTACCTTTCACATACTTTGTCTTATACTCATCGTTTGACAAGTAGTTATTTATATTAAAGGTTAATAAGGATATTGTTTTTCTAAGTGATATGCTGAGTACTTTAAAAAAAACATATTATAATATACATTATATTTGTTAAGAGAATGTTAATGAAAATGTCGATACCAATAACAACCCAGCAGCTTAAAATAAATAGTCAGGATTAGGATAATAAGAAAAAGTATGCTGATACAAAAAAGGGTTTATTAGGTTGTTGGCTTTATTGTTTAGAATAAGTGTTACTAGCCCGTTGGCTTAAATTGATTTAATACTTCTACATACAATGTGTTCTTAGCCCGTTGGCTTAAATTGCTTTAATACTTTAACGTACATGTATATGAAATTCACTGTGATAAAAAAGTGATTGTAATTTAATAATGATACATTCATAATAAAGTTATATAAAGCAAAATACAGTTATTTGAATAAATTTTTCACTTTTACCCAGGATTTATTTCAATACTTTCATTTGGAGTGTTTACAGTATTATGCATAAAATTTTTTACAGCAATTATAGGTGAACTTAAATTTACTGTTGCACAAATGACAATAAATATATCTTCTAAAAGTGGATGAAGTTCACATGAGACTGTCGATGAAAGTAGTTGAAAAACTTTCAATCTCTGATTCGATCTTTCAATGTGAACTCTAGCTTTAGCAATATCACAGCAATTATCAGCATCGAATTTGCTGAACTGCTTATCTCTTAAATATGCAGGCCTGTATAATTTCCAGCCATTTTTTTGACATGTTGCTTCAATCAAAAAACCTTTATCAACCATGATAGCATCACCACGTTCTAATAACTGAATTAAGCTGCTTTGGTTAAAAATAGCAGTATCGCTGGACTTTCCACCATACATTTTACTAACATATGTTATACTACCTAAAGGAGAAACACCAGTCATAAATTTCACAGTTAATCCACCTTTGTACTGTGAGAAGGTTGACATTTGACATTCGAGGCATTTAGTATGCTGTATATGTATCTCTGTGCAATCTAAAACAACTCTTACATCTTCATAGCCTTTAAAATAGTTTGGTAAGTTTCTAGAAATCGTCACCCTGGATTGCCAATCAATCATCGCTTTTAAAGTAATTTTAAGCATCCCTAAAGTTTTGACAAAAATTCTCTGGCAGTGTTTTGGAGATATTTGAAAAAGAATTGCTAGAGCACTGTATGACATATTTTGTTTTATTCTCATGTAAGTCATTATAACATTACCTTTTGCTTTCAAATTACTTTTTTCAAATGTCTTAGGATAAGATTTTTCTAAAACTTCAACTATAGTATTTAAAAGAGTGAAAGATTGTAAGCCTGTCATAGTACTCAATTCACTATCACTTTTGATTAAATTAATCACAGTCACTTTATCAGTTTCAAGTGAAACATCCTCGGTCTCTGGCTTGGCGTAACATTCAGCATCCTTTTTTATTGGGTGTTGCGTTATCCTAGTTTCTACTGAACTATTAGAAATAGTGGTCATCATCATATCTACATCAATGTGATTTATTTCATTATTTTCATGCTCCATTGATTCTGTTGATGAAATGTTTACTTCAGTGACAGTGTTATGATTTGCAGCCTGTTTATTCTCTTGACGTTTAAGCATCCTTATAGACCTGTTTATAGATGTAGTATTTTTTTTTGCTCTTGACTTTGGCAAGTTTAGTATTGGAACTATATTTTTTTTCAAGTGCTTCTTGAAAGCTGAAGCATCTGTAGAATAATTATTCAAATATATATATATATAACTATATAGCTAGATAACCTAATTCTTTGTTCTTACCTGGAAAAAGATAATCATTCTTTCGGAAATAACGGGAGCAGACGACAAGACTATTCGAATAATTTTTACCAAGCCCAAGAGTCATTTGCCAAGCTTTCAATCGAGAGATTTTCTCCAACTTTCTGAAATGGTTTTCGCGATATACAAACCCATCATCTAGTTTGGGCAAATGATGAAAGTGAATTTCTGTATCATCAGCGGTTTTATTCTCACAGAACTTAACACAACATTTCTTCTTACGATTGAGTTTTGATTTTTTACTTAATAATTGTCCAGGAATCATTATTTATTACAATTATTCAATGATAAGCACTACTTGCTCATTACACGTAACGAAAGACTGCACTTTGATTTAGTTCCATATTTCGTCATCAGAGGCGCTCACGCTCAGATGTCAGACCCTAATATCTAGTATGGATTTCCAGTTAGATTTTCATGTTAATTTATATGAAATCTAAAAAGATTTTTATGGAATTTCAGGTAATATTTTTAGATGGATATTATAGGTAATCCAAGTACATTGTTATGAATTCCAGATAGTTTTTTTTTAATATTATAACGGGGTTCCTGCTCAGCTTCGCTCGAGCGGGACACGCTATATAAAAGTAACCGCGGAAAAGTAGATGAATGGCTCTCCAGAGCAGATCGGCACTCTTGCACCGAACGTCCTGGGTCCAGCAGCTCAGTTGCCTCCTTCTCGAGTCGAAAACTTGGCCCGCGGAGAGTGTCGTAAGCTTTCGTATGACAAGGCGCGACAGCCAAGGAGAAGCTAAAGCGCATAATCGCATATACGACTAGGAATCGAGGGAAAATGACACATAGCAAAGGAGTGAATTGAATTCATTTATTCATAACACAAGCATAGAATAGCGTAGTTCGCGCGCAGTACAAATAGCAGCGTGGATAGCCTCGCGTCAGATTTCAGTGCAGCCGACGAGCTGCGCACACGCTACGCAGCGAGGACTTGCACGCGCACGCCCTGTTAAGAGCGGCTAGGCACAATGGCGACGGCCAACCGGCGTGCACCGTTTGAACGAGAAACCTACATCGTTTACTCGTGTCGGCTCTTTAGCCGGTCGAAACGTCTCGGTCACTCGACTTAGACGAAAACGGCAACCGCACTTGCTCGTTGTAAATCGGACGAAGCGACAATACGCGTATAACGGAAGCCTGTTCGTAGGCCGAACGAAAACAAAAAAGAAATAAGCAACTATGCGGTAAGGTATCGACAAGGATACGCAATTTAAGCAACGCAGGAGGAGAGAGCCATAGAGAGAGAAGCCAAGTTAACAGACTGGTACTTACAATGCTGGAACTGACGAGTCGCTCTACAGTAGATTCGCAAGTAGTTCTCAGCGCGCTCGCTTGCAAAGGATTTGTTAATCGCGTTATCGCTTCTTGCGTTTACGCTTTTTCTCTCTGCTTCTATCACCGAGTGTTCGCTGGGCTTTTCGGGAACAGCGTCGATAGTTGTCACGCGTGTGGCTATCAAACCTGATTGCTCTCTCTAGTAATTAGCGAGCTCGCGTTGCCGGTTGCTTGTTCGTTGCCGGTCGGAAGCAGACTTACTTTTTGTCCCTACTCTCTCTCTTTCCTCGAAGGGCTCGCCTCTCCGCGAGGTTCGCGCCGCGAGTCGATATCGATAATCGAACTATAATCGCGTCACTTACCGGTTCGCTGACGTCCACGCTGTAATTATTTAAACATGTTTACATGATAATTAATTATTATAGATAATTATTATTTGATGGCTTCCTGGGGAGAGAGAGACATAACGAACTTACATGCCGTTCGTTATATCCCCCTTCCCCAGACGCTGGTTGCCAGTGGGGTACCAGCTCGAAACCTGGTCTCTCTCTCTGCATGCATATGAGTTTATTTACCTCATAGGGAAAATTTAAGACGCGGGCCATCATATTGGGGCGGAATAAGCGCAACCACAAAGGATAGGAAGGGTAAGGTAGTTAGAGTAACTCTCTCCTTTACAAAAATAGGCGTAATTAGGTCGCTTAATTTCGGTTGGAACGGAGTCGTCTCGGTGACGGTGGATTCGCACGCAACGCGAGTCTCTTCTTGCCTTTCGGTCGGCCACGTTTTCTCCGCGGTTCGGAGTTCGTCTCGCAGTTTTCCGACCTATTTGGTTTAGACACGCTCTCGACGGGTACTGGAGAAAACAGATCGTTGAGATCAAACTCTTCTTCGAACTTAGGTTCCTCTTCTACTTCTTTGTCCGCGTCCGGACATTAAGCCTCGTCGTGGCAAGATCGTAAGTCGCAAACGGCAACTTTACCCACATCGTGGCCTTTTTCGGTACTCAATTGGTATGAGTTCATGCCTAGACGAGCAGTCACGACGAAAGGTCCCGCAAACTTCGGGCTCAGTTTAGCAGCTATTTTCATCGCTGCTGAAGAGAGTAGGCGGTTCTTAGCCCAGACTTTATCTCCAATGCAATACTCTACGTTTCTTCGTTTTAGGTTGTAATACCTCTGTTGACGATCTTGCGCAATCCGAGTGTTTTCCATAGCAACAGCGCGGAAATCATCTAGCTTTTCCATCCTCGTGTGCCAGTGTTCTATTGCAGCAGCTTCAAGGTTACGAACTCGGTCCCTGTCCTCTTTCCTTTTCTCGGAGTTAGGAAGTTCGGGGTGCCGTCCTTAATTGAGGAAAGCTGGACTAGCGCGCGTCGCTTCATGTATCGCCGTATTGTAAGCGAAAGCGAATTCCGCAATATGAGCATCCCAGGTGGCGTGATTTTCTTGAATGAACGCACTAATCATAGTTTTGATAGTGCGATTCACTCTTTCGGTCGGGTTGCTCTTTGGTGAGTATGGCGCGCAGGTGCTATGCGTTACGCCAAACGAATCCAAGAATTCGTCCACCAGTTTGTTTTTAAACGGCGTACCGTTGTCCGATAAAAACTTATCAGGCACCCCGAATCGCAAAAAGATTCGTTCCTTCAACTCGCGGCGGATCGCTTTCCCATTAGCCTTGCGTAATGGAATACACTCTATCCAGCGAGTGAAGAGGTCGATGAAGATTAATAGGTGCTCATAGCCTTGCGCTGACTTAGGAAAAGGGCCCATGGTGTCACCTGCCACAATCTCCCATGGCCGAGTGACTATGTGCCGTCCCATCAGTCCTGCTGGAGCAACTTGCTCCACTTTAGTCTGTTGGCAAACGAGGCAGTTGCGAACGTAGTGGGCTACGTCCCTGTGTATGCCAGGCCAATAGTACTTAAGCGCGGCTCGCTTTTGCGTCTTATAGCGTCCTTGATGTCCCACAGTAAGACTATCATGACACTCTGATAAAACTTGAGCTCTCTGTTCTCGAGGAAGCACAAGCTTCCAAGCATCTTCATCGGTACCCATTATATCGTCCACGATAATATCTGGTTTATAAATATATAACTTGTCTCCTATATACTTCCAATATGGGTGTTCGGTTGGATTCTCTCGAACCTTTTGAACCCATTTCAAATACCAAGGGTCTTTGATTGGAGTTAGCGCTGAGAGCGATGCTAAGTCGGCGGCAGTAGTCGTGCCATCTTCTTCGTACATCCGTGATAAGGCATCTGGAACGACGTTGAACTTTCCTTTGCGATGCACTATATCGAAACTGTACGACTGTAAGATCAGCGACCAGCGTCCGAGCTTACCGTTCGGATGCTTCAAATCTCGTAGCCATTTCAGACTATAGTGATCGGTTATCACTGTAAAATGATAACCTTCTATATAAGGCCTAAATTTCTCAATCGCCCAAATTACTGCGAGACACTCTTTTTCTGTTACTGAGAGCCTCCTCTCCGTAGCACTGAGTGCTCGACTGGCAAAACAAAGCACTCTGTCTTCTTCTCCAATGTGTTGGAGGAGAACGCTGCCCAGTCCTGAATCGCTTGCGTCACATTCGACTATAAACGGGGCCGCGAAATCGGGCCGTGCCAAGACTGGGGCAGTGGCGATCTGTCCTTTGATGCGCTCAAAAGCGTCTTGCTGCGCTTCAGTCCACTCGTACTTAGTGTCTTTTCGGGTTAATAAGGTAAGCGGATCCGCTATGCTCGCAAAATCGGGCAAGAACTTCCGATACCATGACGCCATGCCAAGGAATCTGCGTAATTGCTTCAGATTCTGTGGCGGCGGATAGTCCAAAATAGGACGAACCCTCTCGGGATCAGGACGAGTCCCATCCTTGTTGACTAAAACGCCTAAGTAGCGAACTTCTGTCATACAAATGCGCGACTTCTTGTAGTTGATGGTTAGGCCCGCCTTTTTGATCCGATTAAGGATACACGAAAGCCATTTCAGATGTTCATCATAGGTCTCGGTGGCTATGATCAAATCATCTATATATGCAAAGGCGTAGGGCTCCATCTCAGGCGATATCAGCATATCTGCCAGCATTTGGAAGGTAGCTGGTCCTCCAGCCACTCCATAGGGCATTCGCACAAACTCGAATAGCCCGAGGCCAGGAACAGTAAATGCTGTAATCGGCGTGGATCGCTCCGTAAGAGGGATCTGGTGAAAGGCCCCTGAGCAGTCAAGAGCGCTAATGTACTTAGCGTGCTGCAGTTTTCGCAGAATCACGTCCATGAAGGGAAGCGGATATGCGCTAACCTTGGACACTGTGTTGACCTTTCTAAAATCTACGCAAAAGCGATACGAACCGTCTGGTTTTTTAACCATAACGACAGGGCTCGACCATTCGCTTTTCGAACGCCGAATTATCTTCGCCTCAAGCATCTTATATACCTGCGCATGCATCTCCATTTCGATAACATGCGAAACAGGATAGTATTTCTGCTTGATCGGCCGGGCATCTCCAACGTC